CACACACACACACACACACACACACACACACACACACACACACACATCCCCTGTGGAATTGGACAGGGTTTGTTAAGAGTCACCAGTCGACCGTCTGCCTATCACTCTGCCCGCCTGTCTGCCTGTCTCCAGCGGTCATATTTGAATAAATAACATGCAGGCTGATGTTCAACATGGACATTGATCGTCTGACACAGTTCGCTACACACTCTCTCTCTCTCCATCAGCGTAGGGGCCGTAACTCTCTTCCGTGATTAGCTCCTATGCAGGGGTCACGCCGCTTGCTGTGATGATCATGCATGAGGTGATCGCTGTAACCCGTCATCGGAGCACAATGTTAACAGCTACGGCGACTGATGACAGCTGTATGTGCTGCAAATAATAACATTAAAGCTGGCGCTGATGCAGGAGGGAACATGTCACTGCAGAGCCCGCTGCACTGAACTAGTGTGAGGTTGTTATAATGTCTACGAAACCGCTAAAATGGCAATTTGTTATGGTTTTGAAAGACACTGGCTAACAATGTTTACCTTGCCAAAGGGGTCCCAGATCAAAAAACAGTATATAACACACATACATGGTCGTTTTAAGTGGTTGTATTCATTGCTTCTTTCTTTTGCCAGCCAAAAACAGAGAGAGAATTCGTATTTGACAGATGATTACTATTACTATTCACTGCTAGCGCTATTTAGAGCTGTTTTTTTAACACTATCTCTCTTTGAGGCGAGTGAATGCATTTTTCACTTTAATGACATGATATAAAATGGTTTGAATAGTGGTTTCAAAGAAGGTTGCTTGTTGACGTGCTGTCTTCAAGACTGCTTAAACACATCCATTTGAGCACTGAATCCATATGTCACCTCAGTGACCCAAGATCTGCTGAGGAGGCGAGTGTGTAACCAGGAGAAAGGTGGATGTGAATGAGATGCTTTCTTCCGTCTCTCAATAAGGCGGATGGAGGAAAACAAGGACAGAAGTGTTATATTTCTGTATTTATTTTTGCCTGTTTCCAGCTGTAAACCGAAGCTGTATGCAGAGAAGCTGCCCAACACCAGCATCATCATCCCGTTCCACAACGAGGGCTGGTCGTCGCTGCTGAGGACTGTTCACAGCGTGCTCAACCGCTCTCCCGCACAGCTCATCGCCGAGGTCATCCTGGTCGACGACTTCAGCGACAAAGGTACAGAGGAAACACGCTGAGCAGAACACACACCTGTACAGATAACACACCTCTTCATGTGCAAGATGGACTGTTTGATTAGTGTGTCACTTCTCTAAAATTGTAAATCCTGGAATGAGAATTGTTCAATAACCTCTTGGAGGAGAAGTTTTTGTTTCAGTCTATCTTTGACCTCCTCACACTCAGCCTCACAAACCCAACCTGTGGAAACATCCACAAAGAACTGACTAACACCCGGCAGCTGGAAACCAGACTAATCAGTGGATGTTGGGAGTTCCTTGATAACGTGACACCCTGAATCTGTCTTTCTGCAAACAAGAGCATGTGAAAAACTATTTAAACTACACACTTTGAGGATTAGTTTTAAAATCAAGCTTCTCTCTGCAATCAGAATGGGTATTACTTTCCTCATTTATTCAAAAACATGCTTTGGTCAAACCAGAAAAAGTAAACAATTATCCAGGATAATTCCCAGTAATATCTTTTCCATAAACCTTAAGCAAAACCTTCATGTATATTCCCATCTGTTAATACGCAGAGAAATGTGTCAAACGTGGGTGAGACTACCTGTGAAAGCCCAGTATTCATGTTAAGTGACGTTTTCACGTATCATTGGGCCCAATTAGCCATCTGACAGGTGACGCAATTCTCTATCTCTGACCTATAGTACCTTTAATTAAGCTGCCTTTAAATCCTTCTCTCACCCAAGCAAAGAGTCACTGACACTTGTCACTGTTTGTCACTGTTGCATCTGCTTCAGGTTAAACTACATCAGATGGCAACACTTGCTTGATATGCTTAGTAGTCAAAACACAGTCTCTGTCTTTTCATGGATTCTTGAGGCCTCTTCAGGCCTTGACCTACGGTCTTAAAAAAGAAAAGAACATGGTGTCAATATTCTGATATGATTGAAGATTCAAGAGCAATTTCCTCAAGTACACCTACCTGAGTGTGCGGATCAGTTCCAAGTACCCCAACAAACCTTTTGTGCAAACTCTATGTAAGAATATATACAATATTCAGTATATATTCAGTATATATGTAAGCACACAAAGTAAGTATGTAAAATGTAGACGGGTGTTATTGTGTGTGTTGCTCGCTGCATGGTGAGAAGACACAAGTTCGAAGCATTTCAGCACTTAGAGCTCAAACCCTGCTGTTGGGAAAGTGAATGTAAAATCAAACTAGGTAACATTTTAACGAATGACAAGTACAGATATTTTCCAATAAATAAACGTTCAGAGAAAAGAAGAACAAAAACAACCCTTATGTTTTTACCTGGTAGCTGAGGATGGCACTAATTGGTCATTGTGCTGCCCAATTTGGACAGGAATGATGAAGGTATAAATCATATCTTACTAAACAAAACACTTCTCTATTTCTGTGTACCGTTTTGGCCCAATCTGTTCAGCACGTGTGGCTTTGCTTTTGTTTGTGAATTCCTGTCTCTTTAGCAGCTCTCTCCAGTAAACATCTCATTTCCATTGTTACATAGCATTGTTGTATGTCTCTATGTGTGCGTTTGTGTTTGCATGTGCACCTACCTGTCGGTGTGTTATTTTGTCTCTCACTCTCCGTTCACCAGCCCTCTTAAAGAAAGTGTTTAATTCCTTGTTAATTAGTGCTCTCTGTCACGGTCCCTCGTTGAAGGATGTGTTTACCTCCCGTCTCCACAGTAATGAGATGTTCCCGCTGCCTCAGACTCATTTAGAGGTTAACACCCATCAGAGCTTGGAGACCAAACCCTCCCACTGCTGCTGCAGAGCGGAGAGGAAACAAAAGGTGGCGAAAGTATGGCTACAATAGTATAGTATTTCTTGTAGAAATTGCTTGAGGCAGAATGATACAGCAACAAATATGTGTAAATTTTACAAAGCAAGTAACCAATTTAATGTCCCACTCCCCCTATAAATAATCAATTAAATAGAGTAGCCTTTTGACCATTTAAAAAACCTCAGTGCCATTGGTGCTGGACACACAAAAAAAAAATCAATAGGATTGAAAAAACGAGGAGTACAGCTCCCTTTAATTGTGTTGTATTATTGATGTTTCCACCAAATGCAAGTCCACCAAGGTAAAGGAAATGAGGGATAAATATATGGGGAAGCATTTGCATTCACATAATGTGTCAAGAAATTATTGTCGCAAGGAAATATAAAAGAAAAAAACAATAGACAAGCGAGGACCAAATAGTCTTGTGCAAGCATCCAATCAATAGGTCTCAAAAGATGTACCATAAAACTATCAACCTCAATTCATAAGCCATTCTTTTGCACTTTTAATCAAAATAAATCATACAAACTAAACGTTTGTATTAGGATTCACACAGAGGAAACAGGAAACCTTCTTTTCCAACATCATTCCTTCCCCTCCACCACCACATGTCCCTGTGGGTTGGAGGTAAAGAACAAGTCAGTTGTGTGAAAATAGCCTGGAACCTGCGATGGGTCTGGACCTCCTGTCGTCAGGATGGATGGGAGAACATTTCACAGCTGCAGAGAAGGGACTTAACCTCTGCAGGCCGTCTGCTCTAACACTCCCTCTCTGCCACTGCCCTTTGATAAGAAATGAGTCAGGCTGTAATTAAGGCTTTAGACTAGACACAAGGACAAACTTCAATTGGTTCTGGTCTCTGGTTGAGTGGCTGGTGTTACAACGTCACAGAGAATAGTCCCGGACAGTTTCTGTGCAGAATACAACAAATCAATGCTCAGCATTGAACCTTGCATAGTAAATTAGGGAGCAAGTGCATTATAGAGGAGAGAAAAAGTCATTTATCATGAAGTGTGGTTCAGACATCCAGCAGGGTGCTTAATTTCCGGTCCACACATTTATTAACCTAGCTGATAAATACTTTTCTGTGAGAATTTGAAAAAAGCAGGACGAAGAGTGTGCCTGTATATTTGCATGTGTGTGTCTAGTCGTAGCGTAGTTCATTCACTCCTTAAATATATGTTTTTCCAATGTTAAAGGAATGCTGGCTTCAAGCTTCAAGCCATAACAAGTAACCAAAATTGATTTTTTAGAAACACACAAAATAAATCACTAAAACATCAATCACTTAGACATGAGAAAAACAATGTCAACAAATGGCTTCCCAATCGACATCTATTAGGGCAGCAACGTGTTTGTGACGCACAGCTCACAAGTGATTTGACTTTGTCTGATTAGACCTCATCTCAGGTCTGTTAGGGCGTGTCTCCCTGGTTCTTTTGATGGATTTGTGATTCCTGTTAGCATGGGACAAATTACATCTTTGTCACTCAAAATGATTTCAGGGAATCCAGAGAGACCCCACGTGTGTCACAGCATAGTTTTTCCCACCTTCAACCTGAGCAGAATTGCAATCAGCCAAAATAAGTGAAATCACCTGTGCGGGGTGTGCGGTGAATTTATTACAGCACACCGGGAACCACCAAGGCAATCGCTCAAACACAACAACATATCCACACTGAGATAGTGAGTAAGAGATGTTTTTAAATTAATTGATTTTAACTTTAGCTCAGTTTAGATATTTGGTAGGGTTTTGTTTGTGAACACCTAACAAAACTATTGTATTTATTTTATTGTGCGTTATTGTTTCTAGGCTCTCGGGCCTTTCTTACCTATACGAGCTAGCTAAATGATGCTTCAAATCCTCATGAGGTCCCTACCTGGGTCAGTACACTCTACTTGGCAAACTGTCTACTGTGTCCTTTGCTAAAATAAACAAGCAGGGTATAGCACATTTTAATAGAGGAGCCAGTCCCTCTATTGAAATGTTTTATTTATCTCTACATCACTGAACCAGGTTCAGCACTGATCCTTAAAGGAAACATGTGCATATGTTCATACGCTCATACTCTCTGTCTGAAATGCATCGTTTTAGCGCCTGTCTCTTTAAGCCCACCTTTGGGGAAAGAAAACCCATCCTGCTCTCAATGCTCAGGGGTTTTCAGGTCTTCCGTGTCTGCTCTGTCGGCATCTTCACAGTGTCACTGCAGTTTGGTTTGTGAACTACAGTACATGCGGTACATCGATACTGACTCTGTAGTTGTGACATAACATCCTTACTGAAGTCCAGCTCGGTTTCATTCGCTGGGCGTGAAATACCAACGCTTTGTCATGGCCGTCTGCGTCACATACAGACACACAAGGAACGTTGGTATGAGAGCGCAACAGGCTTTCATTAAACTCCAAAGTAAACCAATCCACCTCAATATTTCACATTTAGAGCAAGTATTTTGGAAGTCTCTGCTTAGGATGGACGGGTCAAACAAACACGGGACATTCACCCAGGAGACTGCAGTTCGTGTCCCGTGTGAAACAAAAATTTGACGTTACGTTATTGTAACCCAAATTACAATATTATCCTAAACATAACCAAGTTGTTTTGTTGCCAAAACATAACAAGTGTTTTTGTTTGAATTCACAATTTTAAGCGCATGTTTACTGCGACCGCAGTGGAGCGTCATAGTTTGACGCATAGTGCAGTGAGTTGGAACGTGACACCAGTGTTCCTGACCGATCGTCCATATGTAAGGAGCTGGAAATAACAATGGGTTGGGGAGTCCAGAAGGCTCATTTAAAAAGACACAGTTTCTGACTATGGGATTTCCGTGGATGGTTTTGATCAACAAAAGGTAATGGTCATGGAAAATTGAATTTTTGCAATACCCAATATTTAAATTAGAAGTTTAGCATTTATGCTTTGGCAGTTCATAGAGTCAGTGCGAAGGATATTGATTTTCATCCCCACATGGTCGAACATCTGACACACCAGAGGTGGAAATTCTAAGTGCAGCAACAGAAACATTGCAACTATATCCTGCTGTTTTTTTGGGGAGCAAGCACATGTTAGTAATCCAGATCTAGGTTATAAGCTACCTAGCAAACAGCCCTGTTCATTTAGTTATAGCTGTCTTAATTCAATCTTTTTGGTCCAGTTGTACGGTACTTTACAGTTGAAATACAAGCTTATTATTCTCAAGCAGTGTGTGATCTAATTCTTATTCACAAAA